AGTAATTTATCCATTTTGTTCCTAATGAAAAAACATACCAAGCACATCCACTTGTGAAAGGTAACCCCATGCTTTCAGGCACAAAGAGTCAGCATGGAAACCTTCACAATAAGCAAATTGTTCCAAATTTAGTTTGTTTTTGAGCTATTGCTCTGACTTCTCTGAGACCTCCTTTGATATGTGGTCATCTGTTGGCCCTGTAGACTTCCTGGCAAGCATCCCATTTCTAGGATCTATTATTAGTTTAGATGTTTGTAGGAAGTTGTATCTCAAATTCTTTTCATCCTGATTTATTGTGTGTTTACATTTAATCAGACATAAATTGTGATCCCTCCTTCTTTTCTCATTTGGACATGACTTCAAGTTTTTGAAGGATGCCTTATTGCTTGTACTATCATCCGTCACCTTGCTATTTCACCATGCCAACATTTCTCTGCTCTTTCTAAAGCCTTTTTTTGACAGGTGGAATGCATTTATTTTAAGCCTCTGCTGTGTCTTTAAATAAGCCTCATGCTCTTGATTCACATAAATAAAAAAAATTCAAATGCTGTTAATGTCCCAAAAGAAAATGAAGACACAGGTCCTTCAGCTTGCTTGTAGAGGAGGTTGATAAACCCCCTGGGGTCAGTGGCTGGAGGGGCTGTCCCCAAGGCCAGCTCCGATGTGGTGCACCCATGTCACCTGGGATCAGACCGCCGTGTGAGAGGACTGTGAAGACCCTTACCAGGACCTCTGCTCTGTCGGGAGGTGCCTCTGAGCTCAAGCCCTGGCCCCTGGTCATTGCCAGAGCCCCGCTGCAGCTCCATCTGTCCCTGGCCGTGTGCCTTGATGCCCCAGTCCTGACCCACCAGCCTCATCACTGCAGACTCGGTGATTGGGCATGACCCGGGCATTGCGATGGCTCTCCTCCTGGGTCCGTGGAGAGGAACGACTGACTCTAGGGTGGCACAGCAGACCCTGCTGTGGGTGAAGTTACCCGTTCGCATCATTAAACGCAGACTCATCAGGAAAGTTCAGGCTGGCAGTTTCCTCTTTTCTCTATTTGATTCCAGCGCTGAAGATCTGTAGAGCAAATGGGAGCTCCTGTCAACCCCTGCTCTGGGACGGAGGGCTGCAGGGGGGAACGGGATGTCTTCGGGGCAGGATCACTGCCTGCTGGCCTGCGCCATGAGAGCATGTCCTTGGCTGTTAACGAAGGTCTCTCTCTGATCCCGAGTGAATCACGGACATTAAACTCCCCAGAAGTAGCCATTTCTGTAGTAATTGCTAAATTATAGCCCATACGTTGAATGAAAGCAAATTAAGGCTCCATGTACAGTATTTACTTGGGCAATTTCACTTAACCTTGCCATCTTTTAATTCCTTTTATACCTTGATTTAGTCATTTCTGAATCTTTTTATAGTTCCATTTATTGAGAAGACCACAAGAGACCTGAACTGAGCAATTTTCTGTTTCTGCAGTTTTGTACTTTAATAGAATCATCTGTACATAAACTCTTTAAACAATAAACATCTTTATCTGCAGTGGTTTAGATGTATATTATCTTTGTAGCATTTGTAGGACACAGTACCACCTTCACAAGAAATTGAATCAATCTGTTGTCAAAGTAGTGATTTTGGTTACTTTTTGACTTTGCAAGAAAAAAAGGTAACTTTTAAAGAGACAAAACATACTGTAATAATGCAGAAAATCCTTAAAAGTGTAATTTATCAAGTTAAAGATCTCAGTTTGATTGGACAGTGAAATGCTGGACCGTATATTGGTATCAGCCCTTAAAAATTGCAAACAGTAATATACATCTAAAGAAATATACTTCACAGGAAAAATTAGGCTATGTTCCAGCCAGCTGGTGTCATGGAACAGATAATTGAATTTCTTGCTTTCTTGTTAACCCAGTAATATCACGTAACTCTTCTTAAATGTTCGTGTAATCAACAGTCTTTATGCTGGTCTGCATTTAATAGACGGAATAATTTTTTCTTTGAAAACCAGTCTTATCAGCATTTTTTCTGTTCTCACAAAGTCTTTGGGAAAAAGTTGGTGTTTTGTGGAATCACATCCCACAGATTACAAGCAGCATAGAAACAAAACTCACCAAAAATGTGATGCAGATTTGCGTTTTATTTTCACGCAACATTTTTTGAAGAACGTAAAAAAAAAAAAGAAGTGCGTTTTGAAAGAAATGGAGCCACCTACTACCACATGAACAGAAAGAAACAGAGCAAAGTTCATCAGCGCACATTGCTCTTCGCTGCGATTACTTGTCTGGTCTTTCTTTGAAACGTGGTATCGTGGTTGTGGGAGCAAAATCAGGTCTCAAAGACAGCCGTTGCCATGATTGCTAAGGCATGATTAACTCTTGCGATGCACGGAAATGAACTTAAAGAGAATGACTGATGGCAGCTGCCCACGCCAGTGCCACCCTGCTACTACGTACATGGATGGCAAAGGAATCGCTCTTGTTCTGTATACACCATAATTTTCAGGCTTAACAAAATGCAGCACGTGCTCCAAAGTGAGAAGCTTTCCAGGGACATTCAGTCAGTATCTCAAATTTGACTTCAAGTCTCCAGATACAAACTGGAATATGCTGATGCAAATTGAATATGGTCTTGCTAAGATGGCAGCAGCACTTAAACAATTCCCTTCCATCGCCCTACTGTGAGAATTTTTTTCAGGTGTTTCTGTTGTTTAACATTGCCTGGGCAGTTTTGTACAACTGTTTAACCACTTTATTGGCAATGAGGAAGGGCATAAAATCTGTTACTGCAAGTGGGAAGGAACATATGTTTAATATGCAGCTGGAAAATAATATTTTTTAAGGAGCTTCACATTCAAATGAACAAGCCCTTTGTTTCCCTGCTTTCCTCTGTATCCCTAAACAATTGCTGGTACTGCTGAATGCGACAATGTCGGGGGAAGAGAAAGGAGGAACTTTTCGGACCTATAGCCACGGAAGGAACAAGTCCTGCGTGAGGCACGCTAGGAACCAAGACACTGAACTCATCCAGATCAGTGGGGAATAAAGTAAGGATAAATACGAGGCAAAGAGCTCCCTAGAGCGGCTTTACCACCAAGGCTTCTGTAAGGGAAAGCTATGCTCGAGACCTGCTGGGCCCCTCGGCGCTTGTCACATCAGCCTGTGCCCATGCCTTTCTCCTCTTTGCTCTTCTCCTTGTCTGGGCCCACCATCGTACGGGTGTTTGCAACCAGGCATTTCTTAATTAATTATCAACAGCCATGAGAATCAACCCTGAGTCTTCAATGCTCAGGCTTGCACAGACTTGCTCACCGTATGATTTGCTACAGATTCAGCAGTACCAACCTCACTGTTTAACACCAAAGCACTATATCCTAATATTGTCCCGACAGAAGCTGGCGAGACAGGAATAAACCAAGCAGCTGGGCCACAACCCGAAGGTGAGGTGCCAGCCAGGGACTGGGGCAGGAACACGCAGGTACGAAGAGTCCTGAGTCACTTCGACTTTTTTCACGGTGCTTTGTTGCCACCTGATGGCCTGGTGCAAGATTGCAGGAGTTAAATTTAGAAAGGCACAGTCTTTAAGAAAGAGATGTCTTACATTTCATTAGATCCACTGATAGTTCAAAGCCTTTACATGTCCTGCTGACCCAAGGCTGTGCGCCGCAGGTAACAAATTAATTTTCTTCCAAGTGACAGCCATAATTGCAATATTCGCAGAACAACTATATTTTATTTGTATTTAGCAAGAATTTGTCTTTTGCAATTTCCTTCCTTGAAATGATGACAAGATATCTGGAAGATAATGATGCCATCAGACCTGGAATGGTCACCAACATGGTAATTCTGGGATGCTCGATCCATCCATCCTGATATTCCCCCACTAGCCGCAATAATTCCCCCATTAGCCACTGCAGTTGCCCCTCACCCTGGCCCTCCTGACCACAGAGCAGATTTGCCGTGTGTGTCAGTCGATGTCCTGCTTGAGTTGCCCAGCAAGCACCCTGGACAATCCTGACCACGTGAGTTGTACCGCTTGTTGTCCCTTTTCCCATTTCTTGTTCCACTTCTTGAGCCTACCTTTCTCTGTCCTTTCCTTACCTTTCTCCACTTCAATCCCCTCTCATTTAAACAATTCACCCCAATTAATTTTTTCCTAAAGGTCCTAGTTTTTCTTCATACATATCCAGCTTTCATGTTTTTGACACCCTTGCCTAAGTGATCTTGGATCTACATAGTATCAGCGCTGTTACTGGTCTTGCAAAGCTCTGCTCCCCAAAAGGTCCCCAGTGCTCCTCCAACCATCTTTGAGGCCTGGCTGTATCTCACATCACTCCTCGCTAAGCACTGGTGAAACCCAGCCATCCCTCATGGCGCTGGCCGTAAGTTTTGTGGGCACCACGCATTGTTATGTGTCACATGCAGTAAATTATTATGTTGCGTCCAGTCACTGTCAACCTCCTTTTCAACGAGTGTAACCACAGGTCAGGGCCTGCAGCCCTAAAAGCAATTTTTTTTTTCCTGCTCATTCCAGCTGGTTTAGCCACATAAGAAGCTCTTACTGTCTGCTTAATTTGTTTTTAAAATACTGAGGCAAAAATACCGAGGCTGAAATGGTTTGGAACTGAGGGACTGGGCTCTACATCTATTGCTCTGGTGAAATCCTGGTGGCTGAAGGGTGGGCTCTGCCTTGCGACCATGGATGTGGCTGACAGAGGTACAGGGAACATGAGCTGACCCGTGTCTGGTCGTGGGCATGGATATGAAGGGCAAGTATAGAAACTGGCAGTTGTCACCTGTGACCTTCACTTGCTTTCTGTGCAGATGGTTGAAGATGCTACAAAGAGGCCCAGAGCAGGCCACGTCTCGTCATACACACCACCTTTGGTTTGCAGCAGCTTTTAGACACAAAGAAAACAACATTACTGATCGGCACGCTGGGGAAAGTGGCTGAGGCACGATCTGCCGGCTCTGCTTAGGGCATCTGTTTCCACAGGCTGGGTTTTTTTCAGGGGTGCTCTAAAGGGTTTCTTGAATCCACAGTCGGAGAACTTCTTCTGAGGGCATCACACGCACCATCAGATCACATTGCTCAGCTTCTTCACTGCCACACAGTGTCAGCTGGGTGGGGGGCTCTGATACTTTCTGTAAAACAAACACACTCACTCAAACACCCTCAGGCTGATGAGCTTCCACTTTTCCACACAAACCGTTCCTCTCATCCTTCCTGCCACAGCTGCCCAGAGAGCCAGCGCTGAGGAACCCACAGCCGCAAAAGCTGCTGCCTGCATTCACTTGAACCGGACGGCACATTCAACACATTCCTCACGTGTGAGCGAGAAAAGAGGCTGCTTTTGATGATTAGTTTCTCCCCACCAAAGAGTTGAGCAGCTCGGCGCTGGTACCAGGGGACACGGAGCAGTGCTGCCAAAGACACAGCTGCTCTGTGCAGGGAGCAGCTGGTCGGGCAGGGTCAGTCTGGGCCTCCCAAGCTGCCTCCCCATAGGCACCAGGAGCATCGTCCCTGTTCCAGGCTCTAAGCTGAAGGCGGTGGCAGCCGTGCAGCCAACTCACGTGGGCTGCTTGACCCCTGCGGCTCAGCTCTTCCCACTGGAATGCACAAGGCTTCCTGTGCCATGGATCTGCTTTTTCTTCTGCCTGCCCCATGCTCCTGTGAATACCCAGCACGCTAAAAACCAATAAGGCACAGTAAAAAATGTTACCAGTGTTTCTGGCAGGACAGCAACGGGGCAGCAGGAGTACTGAAAGATTTTCCTTGTTTTCCAGGTGAGGAAAGGCAAGGTCAAAGCCGCCACAGCAAAGCCAGCAGAGGAGATGAGGGCAGTAACCAGCCACATGGATCTGCCACCTAGAAATAACAGAAGCAGCAAAACCTCTCAGAGAGACCGTGAGGACAAACCACTCAATGCAATCAGCCTGCACCCTCTGCAGCTGCTCTTCCCACCCACCCTGGTGAGATGCTTTGCTGGCACGCTCCAGGGAAGGGTACCAGTGCCAGTGTAGGCAGCTGCACTCCCGAGTCTTCCTTTTTTTTTTTAACCTCCCCCAAGAAACAGATGGGCAGCACATTTGCAAACAAGACAGGAGATATTGGGTGGAAACAAAAAGAAGAGCTGTACGCTGTCCTTCTCGGGCATGACTACATGAGGGGAGTAGGAGGGAAGGCTGGCTGTTACCTTGTGCCCTCACACACTGTGTCTGGCTGAAGCTGCTGCTTCTGTTGATCGCCTCGACGTAGGTCTGAGCTTTTACACAATAATCAGGTCCTGCCTCCATGGTGTCCAGGTGAACCACAGAACTGACCTCTTTCACCACCTTCTGTTGCATCTGCCACAGGAGAGAGAGCATCAGAACATAGGGCAAGGACCTAACTGAGAACAGGAGTCCTAATATGATGCTAGCCCAGACTTTATGAGGTCTCAGAGGATTGTGTGAACAAGAGACGAGACGGAGAAAAGAGGTAGACAGGGAAGCACAGTGGAGTGCAGAATGAGACCACACATGGCTGGAAGGGCAGGAGGGGATGGGAAGAAAGAGCTGTGAGCCAGAGAGGGATAATGATGATGTTGGGCCACAACACTAGACCATGACCTACTGCCCTGGTGTGAAGGCTTGATGACTAAGGTCTTGACTGAGCTGAGTTTCTGCTGGGATGCCAAAATCATGCTTGTGCAGGACACAGCCAGGACAGCTGAGCCCAACTGACCAAAGGGATAGTCCCTCCTATATGACGTCATGCTCAGCATATAAACCTGGGGGGAAGAAGGAAGGGAGGGACATCTTCCCAGGTAACCGTTTACACATGATGGAGCCCTGCTTTCCTGGAGGTGGCTGAACACCTGCCTGCCGATGGGAAGTGGGGAATGAATCCCTTGTTCTGCTCTGCTTGCGTTCGCGGCTTTTGCTTTACCTACTAAACTGTCTTTATCTCAACCCACGAGTTTTCTCATTTTTACTCTTCTGATTCTCTCCCCCATCCCACCGGGGCAGGAGGGAATGAGTGAGCAGCTGGGTGGTGCTCAGTTGCCAGCTGGGGTTAAACCACAACAAGAAATTATTTGGAAGTTTGGAATTAATGTTAGGTGATTAATATAATACACTGAAGAAGAGTTAACATTTCATTCATAAAAGGCAATCAGATGTAAACCTAAATGATTCTAAGGTGTCAGAAAGCTCATGGACAAGGTTGATCTCGTTTACGTGGATTTCCAAAAGGTAGTCAGGAAGATCTGTTTCAAAAGCCTACTAAGGTAACAGCCATGGGAAAAAAAGGCATCGGAGCCCTGAGTGCACCATCAGGCTGCAGTGGCCCTGACCAGCCTTGCCTGGCCCCCCATATCTTCACCCTCCTGTCCATGGTCCAGGAGCCCCATTTAAGCTCAGCCCAGGACCTTCAGTCCCAGTCCCAGCCATGCCGTGGGAGTGCCTGTCTCCAGCCCCGTCTTCTGGATGGACCTTGGACCTACATCGTCATAGGTAGCTTGTCTCCTGGATGGACTCTTGTTAAATACATTGCGGCCTTCTCCTTCAGCCCCGTCTCTGGTCCTGGCTCCTTTTTGCTCCTGGCTGGGGTCCCTGTACAGACCCTGGACCTGGTTCATCACTTGCCTTGTCTGGGGCTGCTGATGGACCCTGTTACCAGGACCTGGTTCTGCCCACTGTGGTCAGACCCTGTGGGTCTGTGCTTCACTGGGGAGGGCACTGCTTGCACTGGGATCACCCCTGGCTCCTGCCTTGTCTGCTCATAGTGAGCAGCCCTGCTCCTGCTGCTTCCTGGTAGGAGGAAGCCTTTTGTAGGGTTAAATTGCTAATCCTTTCTCAGAGTGGAAGGAGGCCATGGTGGAGACCCATGCGGGTCTGTGCTCACCACCATATTACTACAGATCATCTGAAAGAAAAATGAAAACTGATGCATGCTAATGATACTAAAAGAGATGACAGCCAACTGTGAAGAACTGCAGGAGGACCTTGTAATAAAATGACAAGTGAAATTCAACACAGATACATGTGAAATGATGCTCATGCGAATTTTTCCCCTTCATTTTTACACAGTCAGTGACTCGACCTTAAGTCGAGCATCCCCCATCAGAAACAGGAACTTGGGGTTTAGATTTCATGGAATAGCCAGCTCCATGGTAACCACAGATATTACCAATTGCTGGGAAAAGAAACCAAGATTTAGACTGTGCAACAGTTAAGCTGCAGAACTGCTGACTACAGGAAGTTGTACATGCTAACGTTTACATGGCTTGAACAAAAACTCATCAAGGACTATTAATGATACCAGATCTGGCTCAGGAATTTCCTGCAGCCATGTCTCTGAAATCACAGAAAATAACCTAAGTGTAATTACACACAGCCCCACTCCCTGTTATCTTCCTCAGTCATCTCCATTGCCCCCTGGGAGAGAGAATGTACTGGGTTTGATGGTCCCATGGTCTGACTTTATACAGCTGCTTTCTTGCTCTTAGGTTCTTAGGTGCTACAGAAGCACCAAGTTCCCAGGAGAAAAAAATAAAATCGATGTCCGGTGAAAACGGAAGTACCTGAATGGAACACAAATTGTCACAGCTTCACTGTCACCCAGGTGCAGGTAATGCCCTCAGCTAACCGAGTTACAGCTCGCTGTCACAGGCAAGCTGTTTCACAAGAAACTCCTGAGAGAACTTTGTCAGCATCTTGGTGTGACACCTTAATCTTGGTCTGCGTAAACCAAATGATGTTCAGAGAAGGTGGTCAGCATAAACACCTTCAGTTCCTGACTTCAGGTTTCTTTCAATAGTTGAGGTCCCTGAGGGGATTCTCCTGATTTCTCTTGCCAGAGAAGAAATGTGGAAAGAGCAGACAAGCTCCTCCATGGGGGTGACAGCACCCCACCGTTATGTCAGAGGAACATGGCACATTGACCCCAGGCAGGTCCTCCAGCCTCACAGCAGGAGCTTGGCCTGGCAGTCAGGTCCCGGGCAATGTCTCTGTGCTTTCACTCTAAGTATGCGGGCTCTGTTTTTGCCCAAAACCCGAGGGTTAAAACTCACCCTACTCTCCTGGCCCTTCTTCCAATAGAGAACACAGAACTGAAAGGCAGGCCCCATGTCTTCCAGCTCCACTAGTAAATGATACCCATCTGCTATGACCTTCATCAGAGGTGGGGTGAGGGAAGCTGCCAACACAGAGAGAGCACCATTATCACATCAGAGGCAACCCTTAAAACCTGCCTTCCTTCTCAGCTAGGAGAGGAGGAGAAGCAGCCACCGTGAGCACAGTAACGTTAATCTGCAATATTGCTGGTTGATTTGGCGGGGCAGAAACTTCTCTCTGCCTTCCCTCCCACTGTGTCTGGGTGTTGTAGACTTTGAGCAGGAGGAGGACCACGACTGGCATTGCAAATAGGATTTTGGCGATAGCTGAGATGCACAGAACTTGAAAGGATTTGAATTTTCCCCGGTGGAAGAAGCGTCTGGCCTGAGGGTCCCTTGTGATCAACAGCAGCAGAACCAGGTGGGCGACCAGAAGTTGAGACACCAGATCAGATCAGTTCTTCTGCCCCTGGGCGTTAGCCTAGCACTAGCATATAGAACAGGAGCTCTGAAACCACTGCTTCTTCAAGGGAATTTTGGCAGTTATTCAAAGGTGGAGGAAAAAGCAATATGAGCCTCAGGATAACTCTGGCAGCTCACATGAATCCTGATTTTCTTTTCGTATCTACCTGGTTGTAGACAGACTTGTGCTGATGACCTGCTGCGACTTAAGTTTTTGGAAATGTATGCAAGTAAATCTGTAGGTGATTTGCTTCATGCTTACTTTGATATCAAAGCTTGGTTCGGTCTGGGATTCTGCTGTGAGGCATATTAGTGAAACCATCAGAATCAGCCAAGCATGGATGAAGCTACACACTGTACCGTTGTGAACTGGGCGTGAAGGCAGGGTGGAGATCAGATTTGCACTACTCATCAGGCCATTCCTTACCTCTCTGTTGTCACTGAAAATGGTTGCAACCTCCTTGCTTTCAATGTATGGGAACGTACAGAAGAGATGTTCTTAATCGAATTTGCTCTTACATCCGGTGAATTGCCAATAATACCGAGCAATATGAAAACATAAAATCCAAGTATGTTCATGATGAGTGTGCCACAAATGGGAGGCCTGGAAAACTACGTTATACTTTTAAATTAAAAGTTGAGAGTCTGCTTAACATGATGTCTCAAAATAAATAAAAAACCCTGTCATTTGGTGGTTAAAAACAAATATTGGGCTAAATGTATTAACAAATTGACATTGCAAAATGCAACTGCTAACCAAACAGGAACATTTATATTTATCTCTGTGGTGGGACACTGGATGCTAGCTATCTGAATTTGGATAAAATGAAATTTGACTGAATTTTTAGTTTTAGGAAGATCTTTCAGAAGTCTTTTCCATGTGTTATCATACTTTATGTGCATCTACACCTAAGACTTTGATACTGGAGCTTTTTTAGTCTAGAAGTACTGTGGGCTCTGCTGATGCCCTGATTGTCTATGAACCACATAAAGAATCTGTGGGCTGTGCTTTGAATTCCTGGTTCCTCTCAGATTCAATGCCAGGTTTCTTAAGAGATGCTAAAGCAGAGTCAAGGGAAAGTGAGCAGTAAAAATGCATAAGGACAAGAGCTTACAGTGACTTTTCTTTCTCCTTTAGACATTTGTCCATATATGCATGTTCACATTGCAACCCATTGCAAGCTGTGTCCTCTGAGTGTTCACAGCGTAGCCAGAGGATTGTACTGATGTTTCTAAGACACAGGACCAAGCTGTCAAATAATGTACCATGGGAAAGTTGCTGCTTTTCTTCATGAAGAGGGTCAAGCTAAGGAATGTGCTTCCCTTACCTCTGCCTGACAGTGTGGTCTGTGGCTCTACTCTGTGCCACCATAGCTCCTGGAAAAGGGAAGGATTTTTCGTCTAAAGCACTATCTAGAAAACACTTCCACATCAAGAGACCCACTAACCAACTTAGGTGGCACTTCTGATGGTGCTGCTTTGACTAACCGCTCTGTATGAACAAGGACTGCTCACTCTTGTAGTAGCAGATAGCTTCCAACAACTGATGAAGGTTTAAGATCAGATCAACGCTGGTATCAGACAGGCAGTTTCTTCCCTGGCTAAAACTGATGACCACTGCCCATCCCAGACTGAGAGTTGCACTCTAATACTGACCTCAGCACAGGTTTTCCACCACAGTTTTTATTGCTGAAAGCAGTTGACTACATGGCAGAGAACAGAGATAATTCCAGAGAAACACTGGAAATAGTATGCTAATTTTAGGCTGCAACATGATCCTTGGGTTGAGCTGGGTCTCAAGCTTTGCAGGAGTTGGAAGAACGTGGAGAAAATACCCTTCATTGCTGGGACTGCAGCAAAGCTACAGTTTCCATTTTTCTTTCCTCTTCCGAGGTTACTTCCTATATCTGACAACATGGGAGGAGGGAATCGTGTCTGGAAGGGAGTGGGATTTCCAGGACAGCTTAAGGCACATAGAGGGTGATACGGCTGTTTCCTAGAGTAAGTGCTTCCATAGGATCAGGTTCTGGACTCTCAGAAATGATTGGATGACATGGATTAGATGAAGCATTGACAGCAACCCTGACTGATCAGAACTCTTTGAAATCAGGGGGGAAGAGTGGCCAACTTGCTAAAAGAAATGCCTGGAGTCTTCTCACCTATCTTTGAAGCCCTTGAAATTCAAGCCCTGGTAAATTTGGCCCTGCCTCAGGAGGAACTCATGTCCAAGAACACAGCAAGGGTGAAACATCCCACCCTGGCATGAGAGGAGCTGAGAAGCAGGATGTGCATTTATGGGCTGTATGTGACATGCACAGTACACAAACACGCACGTGAGCAATCCCTCAGCACTGAGCTCTGAGCAATTAACACAACCAATTAGCTTAAGCCAAAGAGCAGGACTCACTTGTGATGCGATTGAAGAAACCCTTCAGGGTGCCCCACTCTGATCTTCTAGCACCAACGTCTGCCCTTACACGCAGGTTATAGGCCACAGTGGCTGAGATATCCTCCGTGATGTTACAGACTGTGGCTGCGATGAGTGAACATTCACAGATGGGAATCCAGCTCTCATTGGCGTACTCTCGTTCATACTCCCTGAGGAGAGGAAAAGAAAGCAGACAGGCAACAGTCTGATGGCAGATATACCTGTGACATGGGCTAAGGGTGCTTGCTAGTTCTTTCCAGGTAAAACCAGTACTGGGATACACTGGGGCTCGAATACTAGGAGTGTGTAAAACCAGTATGGGTGTGGTTTAGAGTTTGTCTAGAGAAAATCTCCCAGAGCCAGCTTGTCCATGAGCCAAATGCAGCATGATACTGTAGGAGGTGGGGATAGCCAACGCAGTGTTGATGCATCAGATCCTGCCCACTCACTTGACTTGATCATCCCTGGTAAGCCAGAATCCCAAAGCCATGCTGTGTTACACGTCATAGCTCAAGATGTATCAGAAACCTCCTGTTATGTGTGTTAAATGTTTAAAAGATCAACAATGAATAAATCTCAAATGTTTTCACTTTCCTCTTCTAATTAAACTGTTGATAATCTTCCTAATTTTTTAATTCTTCGGACAGAGGCAGTTTTTTGTGCTTAATGCACACCTTGGATTACTCAGGTATCTATTAGCCTGTAAACAGTCTCAGAATTGGAGCAGAAGGATTTTTTTCCTCCACTTGTGATCAACAGTGCTGGAGTATCAAAATTCTCTTACGCCTGTGAACTGAATAGTGCTCAAGACATCGAAACAGTGCAGGATTTTAAGTCTAAGCAAGCAGTGTTCAAAAAGCAAAGAAGAAAAAAATACCAGAAGTTACCCCTGAAACTCAACAGAGTATCGCACAGTTTGTCCCTGGACGATCACTGGACTCCAAGTTAAGAAGTGTTTCATGTTGGTAGAAAGAATAGAGATATTCTGAGGTGCTGGCAACAACGCATCTTCACCTAAAATTCCCAGCAAAAGAAAAAAAAAAGAAAGAGAAAAGGTATATGAATGTATTAGGAAAAAAGCTTAGAAGAGTAGTGCAAAGCTGTTTTGTATCAGAAATACACACTCTGCATTTCGCTACTGGCACTTCAGTGTTTGAAACTATTTTAGAGAAGAAGAAATGACAACCAAAGAGCAAATGACATAGCAGTTAGGCTGGCACTGCTGGCAGAAAGGCAAAGTATGCATTTTCATTATTTCAGGGTTTTTCATTGTATCAATAAAACAGTGAGAAAAGGTCAAGCTTTTATAAAGCTAGCCAATTAGATTTAATGAAGTCAAGTAACAGATACTCTATTGCACTCTATAGGCCTTTCCGATGGATACCATGGTTAGAAATGTGCTGTTTCTTTCCAGGCTTGACTGAACTGGACACTGTAGAAGATCCTAGCTCTGGTACAGCTTTCTTCATGTTGCAGAATTCTTATAATGTAAGCGCTTCTGGGCTACAATCAAAATACCTCTTAATAGAATAAACTTATTCAATGGACTATAAATGAAATTATTACATTACTCTGAGATCGTCAAAGCATAAGTATGGGATGATACCTACAGCGTAGTTAATTTTATCCTGTGGCATCTTAGTGTAAAATCCTTAGCAGTGTTTGGACCAGAGCACAGAAAGCAGGATTCCTCATGGGCACATCCTGCACTACGCTATGGGAACAGACTTATCTCTGTTCTGCTGCTTTCCCGTCTCAAGAAAATTATGTTCTCTCTGCTCAGCGGGGAATGGCTCCCAAGGGTCCATTGGAAGGGAGGAATGGATGGAGTGGTTTCAACCAACCCAGTGTTGCAGTGGTCATTTCAACTCCTTCCCAGAACCAAGGTAACTGTTCTATCACAATATATCTATATTACCTAAATATTATTTCCTAATTATTTTTTTAATTACATCTGTTTCACATAACAAGCTTCCATTAGTCTTTAACTGTCATTAAAAGCGGGTGTCTTCTTTTCAGCTGTGTTTACGAAGTTAACCAGTTAATGACAGTTGTTCTACCCAGAATCAAAACCAGGTTGACAAGTCCATGAGCAATGTTTTCATGATGATATTCTTTTAAAGCATTGGAACGACATCGGTCTTTTTGCTGCCTTTAGAATATTCCCTGTATTCATATCTTTATAAAATCATTAATGATGTAGAGAACCTTGATGCCAACTCTCATGATTTTTTGGTTACGTGGCTCTCTTGACATAATGCTCAGCTGTTTAGTCCATACTAAAGGCACTTTTTTCTTATTAAAAAAAATAAAAGTCTTTATTGACCTTCACTCTGCATCTCATCCACCCATTTGGTCTCTTGTATTTGCCACGCCTCTCAACATTTAGATTGTTTGCTACCACTTTTCCTTGCACTCTTGGTTCCCATGTTAATTTTGGGAGTTGGCATACCTAAGTGTGTGAATTACGTAACAGACTTCAGTTACATGATCTAGTTTTTCCACATGACTCACACACACAATGATGTTCCAGGTCTGAACAGGGGTGAACAGCATTGGAGTGTTTCCTAATTTTTTAAGTCCTTGACTTTAGGACTCTTTGGATATATATTTTTTCATATTCAACAGTACTGAACCCAATCTTACTAAACTGTCTAGAAACCGGTTTTAAAAGAAGGTGGATTATTTTGTATCTAGTTGAGACCAATTTTCATTTCCTGGCTATGCTTAACTTAGTATACTGTTTTCTTGGTTTGCTGGCAAAACCAGTGACTGTTCTATCGGCACGGTGAGACCTGTCACCTCACTTCAGCTGAACCACAAGAGTTCGATACGGACACCAAGGTTTCTTTCTTCCTTTCATTAGGAAAAACTCTAGGCCTAATGACAGTCTATGTGTCTCTACAAAAAAAGTTAAATGATTTAAGCTTCAACTTGGTATTAATAGATTCAGGATGGGCAGAAAATCTGCTACTCGTAAGAACTCTTCTCTGAGAAAAGTAAGATCTAGAAAAACCTAATACTCAGGTGTGTTATCTACAGAGCATATTTGCTGATTTTTTGCAGGGCACACAGCAGCCATTCATTCAGTGCCATGGAGTATTTCAACTTTAGTCTCAGAAAACTTAAGTCTCCAGCCCTGCAGGTAAGACAGCGGTGGTGGGGTGCAGTGTTCTGGACATACAGTTCACGTGGAAGGTGCACTAGTTTGGACATCAGCCTTCAGATGAAGGGAACTGCATCCCTAGAGAAAGATATCCTTTACCTTTCATAATCAAAGAATATAGCAACAGGTATCTGTGTGGGCATAAGTATACATATACATACGTGCCTATGTGTGCAGCTGTTACATATAAAAATTAAAAGATTTTGTGTTTGTAAGGTTAAATAATTAAGTAACAAATATGCTAAAGTGAAACGTGATTCAGTTTTAGTATGTCTCACTTGACTATACGTCCAGAGATGTTTGTAACCACATCACCATGCCCTACTACAAACACAGTGGACAGCCCTCAGGACTGAATCAAAGAGGTGTAAAGCTCAAACTTGAGATCTTCTCACCCAGCACACAAATTAAACGAGGTCCCTGAGCAATAGAAGGAGGGATGCACTTCCCTGCTTTCTGCCTAGGACCCAGAGCCGTGCTGAAAGCTGTAGTTTGGAAGAGAGGTTCATGCTCTTCCAAACTACTGTTGATCTAGACATAGCGTATCCTGTACCATATCCAAATAAATTATATTCATGGTTTTTCCAATCCATCTGTTGCAACAGCCCACAAAGCAATTGTAAGCAAATACATGTTTAACACTGGGAGAAATGGCAATTCTATGTTATATAAACAGGGAAAGCACCGAGTACAAACAGTGAAGTATGTTGTTTCAGTACTAAAATACTCCATTAACTGTGGTCTGTGCATTTTGAAGGGAAAAGGAACAAGAATCATCCAGAATGCAGGAGACAACTGGAGAGAGAGCAGGCAGGACCCAGGAGGCTGTTAGCCCGGGGCTGCGTACCACATCCATTTGATTCTGGATTCACAAGCAAAATGTAAATAGCCTCACAGGAAAAGCCAAACTGTTTTTCAAGCCAGGGTACTGACTCTTACCCTAACATCTCCAGTCATGCCAAAGAAAAAAACACGTCCAGATTTTCTCTGGAAACAGCATTTTTGCCTCCTACTCTATCAGCAGTCTATTCCATTTCGTTTCTTACACAAAGAGTGGATTTCCATTTAGAATGGTGATGTCTTCTCCTGTTTAACATTTTTCTCCTCTTTGTGTCAAACTTACAGACTCTACAATTTAAAAAATAAACAAACACATTTCATTATCAAGTCCAGTACATTTATCTGTCTTACTTTTCAGTTTAAAAAGCCTTAAATAAACCCTGACAAAATTCCATTTCTCTGGGATAGATTTTGATACCCTTCTTTCTCTGTGAATATAGAACACAATAATATTTCATCACTACTATTTCATCGTTACTTGCTGTTACTTCATCACTACTCTCACCACTACTTACTGTTAAATGTAAAAGTGAACACTGCAAAAATATTAGTAAAATTACCTCTTCATTCATAATAGCCTCTCCTTTCAGGGGCTCAACAAACAAGAAGGATCAGTAACTTCTGAATCAGTGTTGCATAGTGTTCACAAGTGCTTTCCCTCATCTCTGCTTTTTCTGGCATGCCCCTTAAAATTTTATATACAAGGCTGAGAAATCCTTCCTCACTGCTGTGCTAATAAGTACTGTCTTTGAACTTCCAAGGATTGTACCATTCAATCTCCTTTTTTCTAATCTGGAGGAGAACAGTGTCACCAGCTTCTTGTGTCTTTGAGCACGGTTTGCCTCTCTGCGGTTGAGGAAATGTCAGTGAAGCAGAATCTGACTAGGGATTTCTGAACTCTAAATATTGGTGACAAGAAAATAGAGTGGTTTCTGCAACACTCCAAAAAGCTAAAGGCATTTCTCGGTAAGCTAAATGGTGACAATGAAAGCCATATGTCTTTCACTCCTAGAAACCTAGCATTTTAGACAACAATAATAAATTATGCTAAACAATCTCTTTGGCTATAACCCTAACCCGAAGTCTGTGGGAACATCCCGACCCTCATTTGCTGACTGCACAAGCTGACTCCAAAAGGCAAGACCCCAGTACACATCCCCCTTGCCTATTTTTCTCCCCAGCACCTGGGATACAAAGCCCGGACCCCCAGGCTAGATGGGAACCACACCGTCTTCTAACCCGGTGTCTCTGCTCTGCGCAACCGCAGGGGCAGATTCAGACTTAAATATTCAATCAAAAAATGGTCTCTGCTCAGAAGAAGGAGAGTAGGACACAAAGTTTCATTTTTCAGGTCAAAGCCAAGAGAATGGGACACACAGAGTAAGTTCTCCCACCTTTCTCTCCTACTGTCTATCACAGCATAGAAGACAAAACTGGATGAGTACGTGGTGAGGGAGGCTGGTAGTCACTACACACACAGGCAACGTGGCTCCTGTGCGGAAACATCGCACAACAAGCCAGACCTTAAACAAAAACACCCAGTAAAATTAACCCCAAATTTCTTTAAAGAATAGTTGCCCAGCTTTGCCATCATTTAAAAAAAAAAAACATTTGTCATGATCTTCCCTATTCCACAGAATGAACTTTCAGAGCATACACGACTTGACGCTGAGTCAGTGGTTTCTGTACCTAGCAACTAAGAATGATAAATAATGATCCAAAGTGTTTTGCTGGCCAAGGAAGCTATAAAATTATTCTTCCTGAAGCAGAGAACAAAATGGAGCAAGATGCAACCTGAATTCAGGAGCTGAGATGGCACATTTAGAAAGACAGAACTGAGCAAAATCCGAGCACAAATTGCACGACCTCCTCCCAGGGTAAAGGAGACCCTCAGTCGACAAATTAGAGCTATTAATTAACACTTTATACAGGCATGCCCTGTGCGCAAAGAGATCAGCATTAAAAGAGGACTTGAAAGTTCAGCTTCTCACAGAACAGCAAAAGAGCAGAGACAAATACAGTATTAGCCAGTTAATTTCCTTCAAACTGAAACTCCTCTTTAGATTTCAGAATTGACTTGCAGAACATAGAATTTATGGATTGTCTTTTTCATTTGGTTATTCTAGTATTAATCTTAGACGAAGAATTAAAATTCAAGATCACCTGACCTCATACTTTTTGGCTTCAGTTTTGTAGAAGCAAGTTTAACAAAAGAACAAAAGACTTTTTGTTTCTCACAAGCCCTTCATCTTCGGACTTAAGTCAACTGAAGATATTTTAGCCATTTACCTGTGAGATTTGCTGCAATCAGAGCGCAGAGGAAGAAGCAGATGAGCTTTAGTGACATTTTGTCCAGGCTTGTCGCCCTTTCCCACGTTCACACCCTGTTGCGCAGCTCCGAAATTTCCCTTCCTAGACAGGGAGCCCTAGCCGAGCCGGCCATGGTGCGAGCGAAGTGCTGGTGCAGGGGAATATTGCAAACACCGCTTCTCTGCCTGTCTGCGCCAGTGCCAAAGACGTACACACGTTGTTTGTAAGGGTGTAGTTACAGGGAGTGCCCGGGTGGTGTGATGCCAGCATTTCTTTACAGGTCTCTACAACTGCCCAACGAGATGGCATAACGCCGGTTCACTTAGTTAGCAATTATATGTATTAAACAAAGATGTCGTAAGGAGGAAACAGGATTCATTGGATATTTCCATGTAGTTTATATAGCTGTAAATGCTCATTTTTCTGCTCAGATGCCAAACTAGATAAATCCCGCTGCTTCCAAGCATCAGGAAAGTTCCGCAGCATTACTAAGGCATGCCTGTAACCACAGACCGTGCACAAAGGACTCGTGAAGGACTGTGTGTCTGGGCTGGCAGAAGGGAGTTGTGTGCTCCAATTTATCTTCAAATACTATTTTTATGGCAGCTGTGTTGGGTGTGTACTGAGGATGACATTCTGTTTTCAGATCTGATTTGGTGCAGGCACATGTATGCCGAGGTTTTTCCATCTCCTGAGGGTCGTTGCTCTCCATCTCGCCTCTTGAGCAAAGGCAAGGGTGGACGCAGCTTCTGCTTCTCCTGGATGCAGCTCTGAGACCTTCTCCAAAACCCAACGCGCCTGCTGGGTCCAAGGCTGCAGCAGCAGCTACCTTCATGCCTCTGAGGCTGGTTTCTTTAGAGGCCAAGGGAAAGACAAAGTTTAGGTGGAAGCTTTTTATGTTCTGCAAAAGGCCATTTAAATGAAATGAAATTCTCACTGTACAGATAATGGGGGAAAAAAAAGCCAAATCCTACCATATGCTTTTAGCTCTGATGAATGTATTAGAAACATTAGTATTAGAAAATAATCTGTTCTGTTGTTGTACCAAGAAGGTATAAACAAGGCAATCCTGAGTTTTGAGCTATCATTCAGTTAGGCCTGGGTAGTATATCTGATTCTGCACTGGTTTATATCTTGTGGTGCCATAAATGGGGATGTATACGCTCTGATTTAATATTCAGACATGAGGTCAGAAGTATCTCAAACCCACATGATCGCTAAGGAATTATGCCTCATCCCATTCACTTTATTACTAAAACAGATGCACAGAAAAGAGTTTGCATATAGTTTGCAAGAAATTTATTGGGATCAGGTACACAGCTAGAAGTTTTACTTTCCAAAGATTTCTCGCTGTCTGTGAGCCAGTCATCCTCCTTTTCAAAGGTGGGGAAAACGAATACAGCCCTATGTCAGAGTTAGTGAGCAGTAAAAGAGGCAGAGTGAGTCTGCCATGATAATAATGATTGCGACTGCCCTGAGTTATCAGCAAGACTCTAAAATGAAAATTATAATATTATACTCTAGTTCCTTCCTTGATTATAGCCACCTAAGGCACAACATAAGCATAGAAATGGATTTGTGGGGCATCCAAAGAAAACTTGAGGTGGAAGCTGAAGGTTGTGCGTATATAGGGCTGAGTTGTGCAACACAGGAGGCTTGTGGTAGAAGTGATTATTCAGATTACAGCAACAATAAAAGTGACAAAATACCTTCTGAGATTTTCCTTTTTTTTGAAATGCTGTATGGCAATATTTGGCTTGAAAGAGATAGGAGCACTCTTTCAATTTTACTGGTTTGCTTTCAGAATTATCAGTTTTACAAGTCATTTTGAACTTGATGAAAGAAATGTTTTGATAACTTTTCCTTCACAATTATGGTTACAGTAATGTTTTTGTGAAATATTTTTATGTTATTAAGCATGTATTTCTAACAATAAAACTTATTAAGCATGTATTTCTAAAGATAAACATCTGCCTGACCAACTCTGGTTTGTAATGCTAGCCTTGTATTTCAAATAATTCAGGCCAGTAGTTACCCCAGTAAGCCTGGGTGTAGAGACCTGATTTAGTTCTTGCTTGCAAATTTGTGAGCTTGGACAAGGAACTTGATTTTTCATCAGAAAACAGAGCCCTGGACTTAGTTAAAATAACAATTTAAGGAGCTAAGAAAAAACACTGAGAAAAGATTAAGAATTCACAGATCAGTAGAAGTCAGTCAGAATGGGAACCGGATCAGTAAGAAACTACAGGTAATTTCCAACAGTTGCCTACTTTGGAGGTATTCTGGCTTATTTTGGTCATACAAATCAATGCAAAATGTTGCAAAATGATTTGGATGGTCAGTTTAGCGCAGTTTACCGTCAGCATCACCGTCAGCAGGAGATGGACAGAAATGGGATTCTGCTGCATCAAATTTGACTAATATAATACTCAAAATCTACACCCAGGAAAAGAGACTGCCCAGCCCTTGACATGCTGTTTCCAGTCAGCCACCAGTTTAACCTTGCCAGGAACTAGTGGGGAGCTGGATAGGAAGAGAATTGGCAGAATATGAAAACAGAGTGGAGCTTTTGGTACGTTTGATACAAAGGAGGACTCCCAAAATAAATCGGCAATAAATTGATTTATTAATACTTGGGTAGACTTGGCTTTGCAAGTGATGATCAGCAAAAGAAAGACAAAGATATACTGAGAAACTCTGGAACTTGCCAAAGAATTTTAAGAATTTTTTGTTGTAGCTCATGAGGAAAAAAAGCTGCCACTACCAGGAAAAGGAAAAATGGACTGCCCTGGGGCCGGTGAGTACAGTTCTGTTTCTGATAGGTGTGATGGAACAGGGGAATTCTAAAACAGGTCGTGACATTTGCCAACCAAATTTGCAACAATGATCATTCAGTTGCTCAAACAGAGGAAATCAGCAGTAATGCAAAAGGTAAGGAAAACAGTTCAATTATTTGCTACTATTCTGGAAAAAAAAAAAAAAAAAATTGCTCAAAACCCAGAAGGACATTTACAAACATAAGGCTTGTTGATAGATATGTCAGCATTTCCTAAGGAAATACCCAATTTGGAAGGATATCAGAGCAAAATATGTAGATCTGATTGGTTTCTTTACAGCCTTAGTAAATCACAGCAAGTTTAGCTGTGAGGCCAGCTATTATGTGTAACAGATTTGCTAGGTGACTGGAAATCACAGAACTGGTTAAGAAAACTTGAGAAAAACCAGGTGTGCTGGGGAAGAAGTAGTTAATGAGTTGAGCTATGCAATTAGTTGCAGGAAGACATTATATGAAATAGGCATTTACTCAGAAATGGGTTTGAAATGTGTGCTGCTAGAACTTGGGAGGGAATTACTGATAGCCAAAGAGATAACTGCTGAGAATACTTGCTCGGATTTCCTCGCAGACTTTTGGGATTCTTGCCACTGAGGTAGCCAAGAGTAGGGTTCCAGCGGAAGATATAGAGGGATAGCTTGTATATAACTCGGAGTCTCAGGCAAATCTTTTCTGTATCTAAAGCAATGATGACGGAGCCCTGTTCTCTTTGCTTGGTTTTTTCAGATAAGACACAAGCAGTATAAAGGCATAGTTGCAAAATGTGAACTGGAGGTCCTTGTTAAAACTGGCCAAATAAAATAGGTTTAAGGGAAACTTTATTTTACTGCAAATAAGCAATACTATGGAAGCCATACCTAATTCAATTTGGATTGTTCACATGTGGTTATTTGCAAGGAAAATGGATCGAAGGAACAGAAAAGAGAAGACCCAGGTGACAAAAGCTTTCAGCTTTCAGTCATATTTGAAAAGCAAATGTAAACTGCCTATCACAGCCTCTTTGATACACTTAGATATCCCGGTGGATGCTAAAATATTTGAATAACTCATTTATTTTCATATGTTTTGTGACAAGCCTAAGCTCCCAATCTGTGGCAGAACCTAAATAAATATGAATAGTTTAGAAAGAGGTAATTTATCTGGACCAGATCCCTGAGGAAGAAATTCCCTCTGATTAGGAGAAGACTTGAAGCCTTGCAAAACTGACCGACATGTTTGTAGACTCTCTCCTCTGTAGACTTCTGCAGGGCTTTGTTGTTATTAAACATTTGTTTAAGAATTTACAAACATTGCAAAACCATTACATGGGATAGGAGGGAGAGGAAAACCCTGTTTTGGGAAGCAGTGCGTGACTGCTCTCATGATTGCAAGCATCTCTATCAACTGCTCTTATTCCAGCTTCCTCGTAGTTCAAAACTAGTTTCTTACTGGAGACATGTAGCTGCAATGCTGTTGAAAGGTAGCTTAAGAGTTGGCTGAGCTGGTTGTGAATACAGTAATTCTGATCCTGCAACTATTTTGTTGGGCAACACAAAACTCAGAGCCGAGTATCAGGATAAAAAAGCTGCTGAGCTTCCTGCTACTGGTGAATGACCTACGTGGATCTGGCTGGAGCAGGGGTCTCTGCACTGCGCTTCACCGGCACACCAACTACTCCTGGTTTTTACAAGTTGGGAACAAGGCTGACAGAAGAAAATAAATGACTAGAGGGAGAAATACTCTATTAAAGCACAATTTTAAGTTCTTCAAAGAGAAATTATAGCACTACCTGAAAGAAACTCCTGGCTGTGGTTAAAACTATAAAACATTTTCAAAGCTCTTTATAGGGAAGAAGTTTGGTCAGGACAGACAATCCATCCCTGAAATAGCCCTTTAAATTCTGGAGTCATGGAGGATAACTGTAGTGTCACGCTTTCAAAGCTGCTCATGGGCTTGGCATGCAGTAATACGAAGCTTTCTCCAAAGTGGGACACTAATTGCAAATATTACCCTAAGTGGGAAAACAAGGAATTAAGTGCTCAATGAAACGAGTGGACTCAGGGAGAGATAGTCATGTCCTTTTTTCCCATAGTTAGTTGTCCTGGCTTTTAGCTGCGATAGAGTTAATTTTCACAAGCTGGGAGGGGACACAGCCAGAACAGCTGACCCAAACTAGCTAGTCAATGCCTTATGAGGTCATGCTCAGTATATAAGGGGGGAGCTGG